CGGTGGCTAGCTAACAGAAACAGCCAGTAGCAGCAAACAAACACTCAAGCAGCAGCAGCAGCAGCAGCAGCAGCAGCAGCAGCAGCAACAACTCCTGCTGCTGCTGCTGCTGCTGCTGCAGAAGGTGCAGCAGACGCCGCAGCAGAAGCTACAACACAAGCTGCTGCAGTTGCTGCTGCAGCAGCTGCTGCAGCAGCAGCTGCTGCAGCTGCAGCAGCAGCTCAAGCGCAGCGGTGAAAGGAGGCTAGGGTGTCACCACCGTAAACCCTAAACCCTAAACCCTAAACCCTAAAACCCTAAACCCTAAACCCTAAACCCTAAACCCTAGAGACACTTGAAGCCGATTTAGAGGGTGCCAGGGCCCGCCAAACCCTAAACCCTAAACCCTAAACCCCCGTTTCTGTTATTTTCTTATGTCCCCTTCTAGGGGTTGAGGAGGCCGGCAGTACCTATCTAGCTAGCTAGCTAGCTAGCTGGCTAGCTAGCTAGCTAGCTAGCCAGATAGATTGATAGCTAGCTGTACACTGCGTGTCTACTTACCTAGCTAGCTGNCTAGCTAGCTAGCTAGCCAGATAGATTGATAGCTAGCTGTACACTGCGTGTCTACTTACCTAGCTAGCTGTATACCTAGCTAGCCAGATACCTATCTAGCTATTCCACTACTTAGCTAGCTACATAGCTAGCTAGCTAGCCGTATACATACAGACAGGAGCAGGAGCGCCCATAGCACCAGCAACAGCAGCAGCAGCAGCAGCAGCAGCAAGAGCAGCAGCAGCAGCGGCAGCAGCAGCAGCAAGAGCAACGGCAGCAGCAGCAGCAGCAGCAGCATTTTGCTGCGTCAGCAACAAAACCACCCAACAACTGACACACCCCTGTCGAGTCACAAAACGCACAGCTAGCTACCTAGCTAGCAAGCTAGCTAGCTAGCCACAGATAGCTAGCTAGCTAGCTAGCCACAGCTAGCCAACTGGATAGCTAGCTAGGTAGCTAGCCATCCATAGATAACTAGCTAGATAGCTAGCTAGCCACAGCTAGCCAGATACAGCTAGCTCGCTAGTTAGCTAGCTAGCTAGCTAGACAGCTAGCTAGCTATCTAGCTAGCGACAGCTAGCTAAGGCTAGCTAGCTGTCGCTAGCTGTAGGTAGCACAAGGTATTTGACAATAACACAATGAGGAGGCATCCGCTTGCTGCAGCTGCTGCTTCTGCTGCTGCTGCTGCTGCTGCTTCTGCTGCTGCTGCTGCTTCTGCTGCTGCTGCTGCTGCTGTTGCTGCTGCTGCTGCTGCTGCTAGAATAAGATTAGAAATCCGTATCCATAGCAACCCCATCTGTCTCTTCTCCCTCCTTCTTTTTCTTCTGCTGCTGCTGCTGCTGCTGCTGCCCCTCCTCCTCCTCCTCCCCCTCCTGCTGCTGCTGCTGCTGCTGCTGCTGCTGCTGCTGCTGCTGCTGCTGCTGGTACTGCTGCATTGCTGCTGTGTATTTATTTTCTATTAAATAACAAATCTCCTTTAGGTCGTCCAAAGCTGTCGCTAGTGCTGCTATTGCTGGGGTGTCTACGCAGCAACAAACAAAAAAAAAATAAAAAAAAATAAAAAAAAAAATAAATAAATAAATAAAAATATCAATGTAATATAATATAATTAATAAATAAATAAATAAATATATAAATATATATATAAATTAATATGTATATATATATATATATATATATATATA